TGCTGCAAGAGAAACCCACCCTGTACCACTTCAGTCACAATGTCAGGCCTATTGCTGGAAGCATATGTGTTAACTTATTTTCAATAATCATTATTTATAATTAATTCATGAACAGTCATATCATGTTTAAATTTTACACTACCTTCTTGTATCATGTCTAATGAAGAGGGACTGACAAATTCAGAGACTGCAAAAAGACGCACATAATATTGTAAGGAAAGCCATAATACGAAGATTTGATTTTTAAAAAAGTAAAAATGCAAAACATCACTTACATAAACCAACAAATACCCGACTGGGGAAAGGAAGGACGAGGGGGCAGGCATGTGTGGATGTGTGCGTTCTTCCTGCTGCAAGCATCAACAGCTACATCTAGTGGTTTTAGGCAGTATGGACAATTTACCTACAGCCAAACCATGTCTTAGGGAAGCAGTTTGTATTCTCAATGAAAGGGAAAAGCTATATTTTTCTCCAGTGTAGAGCTTTGTAGCAGCATTGATGCTTCACTGAAAGTACTTTTCCGCCCAGTTCGTTTTGTGCTAATAAATCTATGGAGACTGAAGTTCTTTGTAAGTTTTCAGTTGTATATTTGTAAGAGTTTCATATACTATATTTGTGTATTTTCCTTAACAGTAGGTGAAATATGCATATAGATAATATAAACTCCAAATCCTAAGATTTAAATGTTGTGGAGTGGAATTACACAAGTTCAGGTAACTTGCTACAGGTTCATATCACAGCATGATAAAAATACTTAATTATCACACTATTTCTAGACAATGTGGTAGATGAACCATAGATTAACAAAATCTTCAAGTTTCCATAATATCAAGTATCCTGTTTTTCAGACACTACAGAAAGATTTGCCTCAATCAATTAGAGGCAAACTTCCTATATTTCAAAAAATTCCACATAATGGTAATTTCACATTATGAAAAAAAAAGGAAGTCCACACACAAACCTCCAGTACTTTTCAAAAAAACCAGTGTTAGCAGAAATAATTAGCAATGTATGGTATTTATTCATATCCAGTTATTACCTGAAATAAGCAAGTATTTGGAAGTAATATGACCAATTTAGAAATCAAAAGCATTCAATTTGCCAATAAAATCATACTAACTGAAATGTTCAGTGAAAAGAAATATGTTTAAAAACTCCTAATCATCCCCATAATTAATGACTCCACAAAGAGTGAAGAGCTTCACTGTAAAATGGCAGAAATAGCACAAGAACCTTTACAATTCAACTGGACTTCTTGAAGCCTGCCATAACCTCTCAAGAAACTTCTAAGACCTTTGTTAGTTGTTTAGCAGCCAAGTTCTAGCATTGGTTAGAATACGGCAAGAGATGGTTGTGGAAAAGGAGAAAGTGTTGAAATTTAAAATGGATAAAATGGAGCAGTAAGAAATTAAAAAATTTTCTTCATACATTAAAATTAAAAAAAATTTTCTTCATACATTAAATTACGTTCATCAATGATCTTGCAAAATCATCTGGCAATTTTTTTTATAATGACCTACAACCACTTAAAGCAGATAAGAGGGAAGGACTAAGCAGAGTTTGAAAGAGGCAGAATAAGTTTAATTGCCAATATAAGTTATTATTGCCAGTCACGAACGCATTTTATGCAATAGTTACCACCTGCAACTGCTCAGAAAACCTCTGTTGAGTGAATAATTTAATGTAAAATTCAGAATAGCATAATCAAGGAACATACAAGAATTAAGTTCTCCCTTTCTTTATCCAGACAATGCTAAAAATATTATGATTCATTGGTTTATGAATAGTATAGAAAATAATAATAAATATAAAAATGGGCACCTTGCCCACTACTTTTGTAAATCTGAACTCCTTAGAAGCAGTGTGTTTAGCTTTTCTATATTTAGTCCCAAGAAGGTGCTTGAACAGGTTGGAAAGCAAGACATTAAAACTGAAGCCCAGATTTGAAAGTATCTTTTTGTCTACATTATTCCAATGATTTGAAGCAAAATGTTCATACAATAAAAGCACCTAGCAATTGACAGAATTGGGCACAGGCCACCTCTAGAATGAAGATGGAAAACCAGCTTAATTTCCTGAAACAAATTGATGTAATTTTATCTTTACGCTAGATAAACACACAGGGCTGTTTAGCTGTATCACCTTGCCATTGCACCTTCTGTAGTCGTGTCTATCAGAAGTTCCCCTTTCTTTGCCCAAGTCTGCTGAATAAGAGAGACACACCACATGATGGATGAGTCTTGCAAGCACAAGGTTTGTTGCAAATACCCATATATGTTTGCTACGGTTTTAGAGAGGTCTGGTGATGTGTTAGGTTTGGAGTTCTTTTTCATGTTCTACAACTGTGTCAGTCATTTGAGAAACTTCTCTTTGCCCCACCCCTTGAGAATACATCTGCTAGTTCTTTTTTCTACTTGTTCTTTTTGAAACCAGTATGCAAAAACCGACACTGGAGCAGGGGGGAAATAGAAAACCCCCTGTTTTCCATGATACGCTGAACTACTTTATCTCTCTTCATTATGACAGTTCAGAAACAGTGTTAGTATATGACCTTCCGCAGTTTGAGACTGAATTTCTGTTTAAATACTATCCTTTGTCCTTATTCTCGACAGTCACAAGGTGGCACCAGAGGTCAAATTTTTTGAAAATGCCATTTGGAAACTCGTAAAACTTCTTCTAGACTCCTGTAAATCCATTATTTGTTTTTTGAGGGCAAAGCCATAAAGGGTCAGACAAGCATTCACAGTGAAAGAGAACCTGAATAATCTGTCCAATGCATGCAGCAGATGGCTAACCATAAAGTAATAATAAATTAAATGTGACAAATGTAGCATTTCCAGCGTATTTTATTAAACGTTTGTGAAATAATTAGTACTATTTGAAGGAATGGTTTTCCAATATACTTCTATATTATTTCAAAGTTACTAGCCCTTAAGAAAACTTTTCCTGGTGAATATGCAGGGTGACTAATTTACATGTTTGTGTTGAAGTTGCACCCTCACAGTAGTTTTCTGCTGACAGACTACAAGTGTACAATGATTAAAAAAAATAATATTTCAGTCTTCTTGTTGCCTTTCTTGTGACCCCTTTGTCTCCACCCCTCCTACCAATTTACACCAAAGCAAGGAAACCCTTCTCATGAATTTCACTATGGCCTTTACTATAATTACTGACATTCCCCTGACACTTCCTCTTGATTTCACCACTCACTTCACCTCCATCACCTGGTCGGCCACTCCCTATCAAGTGGATCACCATTCCTCACACATCTGAATGCAATTCAAATTCTAATACATGACATTCCAATAAAATCCTATCTTACTGGTTTTGAAACATAACAGGCTCCATTGTTTCTATTCCATGTTCACAACTGATCAAAAGCTTCTTTATTTTTGTAGCTTGTTATGAAATACCTGCCCTGTCTCAGAAGAGGGATTCATAAATTGTGCTTCACTAAAATAGTGCGGAAAATTTCAGCACTGTGTCCCAGCAAGCCTTCCTCTGGACAGTCTGAATAAGCAATAAGAAGTTCTTTATAATACAGCATTGCCACAGTTGACTTTTTGATTTTGAGGTAAGTTTAGAAAAATGTCCTTTTTATTTTGCCTTTCTTATCTTTCCTTAGTATCTAATACTGGTTGGGAAAACAGGAGAAAAACTGTAAATATACTCCCTTGGTACAAATCTGGTACAAACTTTCCCATGCCTGAAGACCAGCACAGAGAGAAGCATGCTACTGAACGGAGTCCTTAGGGACTTATTAAAACTCATTTGCAGTCATTTTATGTGACATTTTCTCCTTTGATGCAAAAAGATAGGAACAAAAAAATCAAAACCACTTTTGATTACTAGTCTTCTGTGGTAATCCATTTTATCTTAATAACAATCTGACTAGAGCTAGCGTATGTAGTCTTTTACTTACATTTCACTGCTGATGCTGTTATTAATTTGCATTGAAAATGAAGATTATTTGTGCTGGTCCATTTAATTCTCTGTCTCTCCCCTTTACCATACAGCATAGCTCTTTAAGACAAGGACTGTCCTTCTTAATGCAAGGAAATTACCTTTCCATTTATGTCAGCATAACTAAAAATCTTGGTTTATTTTGTTTTTTGTTTAGAAACATCTCTCACTTCCACTCAGACCATCATGGGGACTTCTGGCAGTGAAATAGATGGTGCTCTGTTTCACAAGCATTAACCTCAGTCCCATTTTTTGCAGTATGAAAGTTTCCAGACTACAGTAAGGGGCTGCAAATTTCCATGGCAATAAATAGATCACAACACACAAAACAATTGTGAAATAGCCATATGAATGGAATTTTCTAAAAAGTTTGGTTTTTTAAACTTTTAAGGAAGTAGTCCCCTAACTATACATAAACTTGTGCCTCTCAGAAAAAAGTGAATGCATAGGTGGATTGAGCTCACCTGCAGTAAAGCTGTGACTTCTCCTTGATACACCACTACACAAACCAATCCGTCCTCTTCAAAACAATCAGCATTTGCATTTTAGAAGTAGACAAAAATAGAATACAATCAAAATGCAACTACCTCTGACTAAGATGCCTACATACAATACTTTAATAAATAGTGAAAAACCTTAAAATTAGGAGAAGTTCTTTGAATGCAGCAAAGCAGAGTAAACATTTCTTCTGTTGCATGATCTGGCAATGCCCCTGTAATGAGATAACACCTGTTCTCATACTACTAACATGTTTAACTTTATCTTCTCCTTTATTCTAAATGAAAATTCTATGTGCTCCCTCATTCCCATTTGGAAGTTGAATAGTGAAGCTGGACTTTCACAAAGGACATGTTTCTGCTGAAACCCCATTGCACTCTGCCAAAAAGAAATCTTACGTAGATCAGAGCTATACTTGATATTACTACATTATTTTTTGATTACGATGCTACTGATTTGCCCCCTCAAATACACTGCACTTACACAACTTGAAATTAAATGCAGAATAGCAACAAAGGATATACAAAGTTACACATGGCTGAATTTTATTTTTAAAAGTTTATTTGCTTAGCATAGATGAAAACTTTACCATTTTCATAATTAATCACATGACTAGAAACTTGGGGGCATTCTTTCATTTAGGATAAATAATGGCAACCAGAAATAATGAAGCTGTCCAGAGCAAGGGTATTGAAAAAAATATTCTGGGTTACAGGTTTTTAACATAACATGTATACACTAAGTGCCATTCCACAGAAATCTCTGTGTGTAAAGACTGTGTTTAATATAGACATGCAAATATAAAGATTTTCAGCAACTGGGCTTGTGTGCATTTCAGGAACATGAAACTTAGTTATCACTTCCACATAAAGCCACCATGATGGTTTCATAATCCCCTTTGAGTTCATCCTGTAAATTTAAGCATAAAAACCCAAAAAATGTTAGAATAATGGTCTCAAGTAAAATAATTTTTAATTAACATTCAATATACATTGATCAAGTATCAGTGCTCCATCTACATAAATTAATCCCTTGATAAAACAAAAGTTGGCCACAGACCGAGCTGGAACCAAGCACCATCACTGAAGTTATCTGTATGATCTAGAATTAAATGCATGCATTTCCAGAGTGGAGCTCAGGAAGACAAGGCTAGTAAAAATGTTGGGAGGTCTAGTGGCATAAGTGACGAAGAGAAGCACAGAAGAGTTTTACCTACCCAGGAGCTTAAGGTTTTACTCTAAATAAAGTGAAACTGTCTTTCTTGATCAGTGGTGTCTAATGTTCATTAATATTAAAACACTGTGTATACACATTGTGTCTAGGAGCATCTCAAACAAAGGCTAACAGTATACTGATACTCTGCTTACCATGGGATTGCTTATTCAGCTTGGTAAAAATGGATAATATGCATTAAGTACACAGTGTAATTGTTACATGCACTTCTTGTTTTCTCTAATTTTAATCTCGTTTTCAGAGGTATACGAATTGTTTAGTGTAGCCAAGCTATACATCAAGACATTTGGATGCAATCACCACTTTGAAGCATGATGAGGCGGTGTAATTACATAACAAATTACAGGTAACACACATGCTTAAGGGAAGATTAAAAGTGACCTAACTGAAAAAGTAGCAGACATCAATAAAAATCCAAAAGGCATTTTCATGCATGCAGGAAGTATGTTTCTATTCCAATCAAAACTTTTTTTTTTTGTAATATCTACTACTCTCCACAAAGATGCTTTGCCAATTTAGCTTTCTTCAAGTTCCTCACCACTTGAATTTTCTGGAAAGAACATTGGGTGGTCAGTCCCTTTTAACAAAATATTTTTGTTAGCTTAACTCATTTACTTAGGTCATAGGGAAAACAGGCCAAATACATGTTAATAAAATTAAAAATTCACTTGCTGGAGTACCCCAAACATTAAAAGCCAATATCCAGTTGTATCAAATACCTCCTTTAGAGTTGTCATGGCAATCATCTCCACTCTCCTGCCAAGGCACTGCTTAAGCACAACAATTTGGGGATATTGTACTCTCCTTTCAGCTCTTGGATTTGACTGTAAGGGGATATCCTGAGACAACTACTATTTCTATAGCTCTTTCAACAACTTTGACCTGGAAAGGAATTAGTTCTCCTAGCCTGTGCGCCATTGGAAACATAAGGTACTCATCTACAATGAGCTATGCAAGATGAACTGGTGACTGAGGAGCAGAAAAGTTAACAGATCTTTACTGGATGTCAAAAATCACCTGGTTGCTTTGTGTTTCACGTGTCACTTGGGAGAAAACCTACCATAATGGCCTGGCGGAGGGAGATGCCATACAGACTCTTGTAATAGCCTTTGATCTCGTTCATGTCCACTTCATGACGTGAAACCATGATTCTGATGAGGTCTTTGTGCCGGGTCCCAGCACCCTGTTAAAAGAAAAAAAGAAGAAAGGGGGAGAAAAAGGAGGAGAAAAAGAATTATGCTACTCTTGTCACTGAAATACCTTTGGTCAAGTTCTGTATGTTAATCCATCAGACTTTATAGATGAACATACCCCTTTCCTTTTCCTTTAGTATGTCTTGCAACAGGGAGGTCTCATATCTGCCCTATGAGCACAATCACTTCTGACAGGCTACCTCCACCCTGTTGTTTTTAGGGTTTTTTAACATTTTTAAACATTTCTTCCAGCTGTTTCCTAAAAACAGACATCTTCTTCACTGTGCTTGCTTGACATTAGAGACAGCCTAGACTTTTACTGCCTTTTTAAATTACTCTTTTAATAGTGCAGTAATCTGCATTTTCATAATGTTTCACTCAATTTTTCCCATACTGCTCCTAACTAAGTCACAGGAGTTATGACAATATCTGCATACTAGACAGTTCCATGATCACCAGCTGCACCACTAACATGGGTTCCAAACCTGCCAGAAGGATCATGGAAATCTCATTATAGATTAACCTTCCACAAGGTTCCTGCTAAGATCTGTAATTGCTCTCCTTTTGACTTTTTACTATAATTGTTTCATAAGAAGGGTTCCAGTCTGCTTCCTGTCCCTGTAACAGTAAAAGATATATGCAGATGGACAGATGCCCTCCTGAGCATATTACAGCAAACAGACAACTCCTCCAACAGAAAGTCTCAGGTTTCAAAGGAAGGAATAAAAGGAGTGAGAGAAATACTTTGAATTTCCCTCTGCAGTCTTCTAGCACACAGAGGGCCTAGAGACCTCTAGCTAACTTTATTTTCAGCTTATAAAGCACCTCATGTTTACAAAGAGGGATCTTTATTTAGATTACCTTCATCGCCAAATGGAGTTTTTCTGCAAAGAAAGCTGGCTTGCTTGTGGCACACTTTACTGTAATGAAGCAATGAGACAAGGTCACTTCTGCTATCCATGTAATAAAAGTATAATAAAACGCTTTCAAAACCCTTTCATTTTTCCTACCCACATATCCTATTTATGTACTTCTTTGCTGCCTTTCTTCATAATGTATGAGGACAAGAAGAATCATTCCTCTATTTGTTCAGAAAGCAATTCAGTCAGGGGAGAATAATTACCATAAAAACAACACATTTCTTCCTAGTTTACTGCCCTAAAATTAATGAAGGTGTTGCAATTCCCAAGAAGAAAAATGTAAAAACATTAATGCCTTCCATAGCAGAGCTGGAGGTTATAATTTGATATTCTGTAAACCAAGTTACAGTTCAATTTTGATATTAAGAGTAATCTGATGAAAATTATTCTTTTATCCAAAGTGTGTTTGAATGTGATATAAAAGCTAAGAATAGGAGGAGTGCCTGATTTCCAATTACACCCCTGATCCACTGGGGAGAGGGAGTCCCTTCATTACCTTACTGTTCATGAACAACAGTCACTAACATTATATGAACATTTTCTTGAACAAAACCACTGAAGGAATTTTTTTGTTTTTAATAACCGATATTATAAGTATTCTTGCAACATGAAACTCAGAGAAGAGTGGTTTTGGTTGAAGATGGGTTTAAAACTATTGGATTTTTGATACAAACTATACCTGTTTTGGCAGCTTTTTTTGGCATATTGGTTTCTTATAAAGGTCTTCCTATGCTGGCAACTCATCTGTTCCCCTTAGAAGACTTTTCCAAATATTAGGAGAGGTATTTCTACTTATTCATCAACTTAACTGATTTTAGGTGTGTCAGTTAAATCGCCACAACTAGATTAGACTTTCTAAGTTTTTATTTAGCAAGCTTCTCAATGAAGCAGGGTAAGTACAGAACAGTTTCTGATCTGAGCAATTATGGCAGAAATAAAAGGTTAAGTTAGTCAGAACATACAGTAGGTTTCAATATGCAAAACCACTTACCAAGGGCAGTGAGGCAATTCTCAATATCACCTTTCAGCTCCAAATCCAGTACCTTGTTCATGTCGTGCTTGCTGTATTTGGTGTACTTCTGAAAGACTTAACAATGGGAAAGAACAGTATTCTCCCTGCACTCTCTCTGATGTATTCTGTCCTCACTGCTGCAGCAGAGGACTTTTTGTGGGCCATTTTTCTCACTTTCTTCAGACAGCATAGAGTAAAGAGCAGTGTTACTGCACATCAGTTACTGCAGATGGAGTCAGCATACGGAATGGGACTTGGGTAGGACGGAAGAGTTCACTTCCCAATGGTTGGAGTAGAGGTGGCCAACTGATCACAGAGCCTGCGACACAGAGTGACAACCCCCTGTCTAGAGCAAACTGGCTAAGAAGCAAGACCACTTTGGGGAGCTCTCATTGCTTGGCATTGTGATCACAACCCAGCTGAGAGTCCAGTTTTGTCAGTAGCCTAAATGATATTGCTCATCTCTACTACTGAAAGAACAGCTAGGCTGCCAACCACACCCTTAGTCAGCAGGCATATTTCCAACTAGAGCAATGTCTTGATGATCTATATCTTCTCTGAATTCATGACCAGACGATGTTCAAAAATCACCCCAGAGAAGCATGAGGCTTTGTTCAACTTACCCCTTCGAAGATGGGGGTGGCTTCTTGTAGTAAGAATAGTTACAAACACACCAATATCTGTTCCTTTCCTTTTCTCTCCTGCTTCATACAAGGCCTGTCATAAAGAAAAGAAGGATACAAGGTCAATATCGGAATAGCAAAATTCAAACAGGAATACTGTATTTTGAGGGCCATTGCTTGTTAGTAATGAACACTATCCCTTAACACGATCCAGATCAAAACTCTACCTCAGACTAACTCCAGCTCTGTCAAATCGTACTTCACTTATGTCTTAATAGCACCTAGGGAACACTATGCAGCTAGAAAACATATTTTCAGACATTTTATCATCATCATCTAGCCTTCCTGGGTACACTACATTCTTGAATGAAGTTATTTTTCATTTGTCATGATAGCAGTCTGCATGAAAGCCTCAGGACTGGTAGGATTTCATAAGACTGACTAAATTATTTTTGCAACTAATTGGTGCAATATGCAGGAGAAACCTATGCACTAAGTACTTCCTCATCTTTCCAGGAGTGACTTTTACTTCCAGGAAAGTAAAAACCAAATCAGTCTCCTCCATTTTCCTCACCTCCTCAAACCTCTCTAAGAGTAATAATAAAAGATCTCCACACAGCATGAAGATTTAACACTCTGCATAAAAATAAACAGTACTGAACTTTTGAACTTTGTCATCCAGGGCTGATGACAGAACTAAACTCCTTATGTAACAGGAATTAAAGCACTATTTCTCAATGGCTTTTTCTTTGCTGAGTTTTTTTTGAAAAATCAATTTGAAGTCATGTAAACTTAAATTGTAACTGTGATCTAGCATTTTGTTGGTGAAAACTCAGCAAGGACTGCTAAGTTTTATCAAAGCAAATGTAGTCCCACTAATGCTGGAAGAAACAAAAATATCAGATGCTTACTTTAGAATTATTGAGAAAATGACTGTAAGGTTTATCAATAATCTTGAAAGGTTCATCACTAAAAAGCAATGCCAATATCTAACCTACTGCAGAGTTCACAATGATCAGGGTATGGTAGCTGATTCTGAATATAGATAAGCACATCCCTTTTCCTTAATTCAAGAACTCTTTTATAAACAGAAGCAAGACTGGGTCTGATTCCTCCCCTTGTTGACTTGTACTTCAGATGGTCTTCATGCATTTCATGAACTAGACGAGGCCCTGCAGAAATGTTTCTGAAGCTAGATGTTAGGGTGAAGATCTAATTTCCTTCATATAACTAACTTACATGAACTTTGTAAAATACTACCTCCTCGGAAATGATTGCTGTATGACATTGAAATCTCTGTTAGGTCTGCAATGCACAGGATTCAGACAAACAGAAGAATCTCAAGTAAGTCAGAAGAAGCAGCTCTGCAAAATGCCAATTATGATCTTACCCTGGCATCATTGTCAGCAAGTTCATCATTCACATGAGGGTTTTCACATCGGTCAGCCTACATAAAGAGATAAATGAAATTTCACTGGTATTCACAGTCATTCAGTTCATTAAAGCTCAACATTTGAGAGTTCTGCAGCACCACTCTCAAACATAACCCAATACATAACTGGAAATAGGTGCAGTTATGTGAATCATTCTGTGAATAAAACTGTTGTATTTGTAATCAGAGAACATACTTCGACAGCCATCAGTGACTTATTTCTTAATTCCTACCTAAAAATGCATAGGAAGTATTTGTTTCTTGACATGAAACTACAGGCTTCAAACCTGTGACCTGCTCCCTCATGATCATTCAACAGACTCCTTTCAAGTTCATTTGAAATTTGTAACTGGAAGTCCAAACCATGCACATGGATGTATCAAAAAATCATCCTATGTGCAAGTGCAAGGTTCATATATGTACACTCAAAAATCAAATATTTATTAACTTTAAAAGGGTATTTTAATTGGGAAGGTCCAGTGTTTGAACTTACCTATTTTTCAATGCAAATTTGCGAAACACTTTGTCCACTTGTTAATTCCCTGCCCTTATCCCATTATCTAACTACTAGAAACATTCATTAACAGGAAAGAAAAAAAGTTTATTTCTCTAATTTTAAACATTTATTCTTTTACTAGTCAATTGACATGACATTATAACTGTTCCTTTTTCTAGTGCTTAAAGATAGCACAAAAAAAATTTTAAAAGCATAATTGATTAAAAAGAAATATTGTTTTACAATAAAGTTTTTAAAAGGTGTTTTAGATAAAATCTCATTATATTTTGTTTAAGAACAGTTTCTAATGGTCTAGGATTTGAAAGTTTTAAAAGGCAATGCAAAGAAATAAATATTTCATAAATCTTTATTTATTGCGTTTGTCTCTAAAGTAGTCTTGAGAACATTGATTTTTGATTATAGATATTGTCACTCAAAATGCTTAAGCATAGCATACCTTGGCTAGAGCAACCAAAGCCTTTTGAAAGTCTCCAGATGTGTCAGAGATGATGTCTTGTGTCAGATCTCTCTTCAGCACTGCAATCAAATAGTTTGTTTTGAAGTTATCAACTAAGTTGACTACATCATCTTTAAAGGTCCAGTCAAACGACTCTACGATCTTTTTCAGTATTCTCTTAATTTCCCACTTAAAAATGCCCACTAGCAATATGGTTTTCTTTTCATTTGGTTTCAAGTAAAGGAGTTTATTTGTAACATATACTTTAAATCCTGAGATGTGCTGGAGATTGGAGATTAAACCTAAAATGTGCTGAAAAATGTCCTTCTCCAAGGTCTTGTGGGTAGCATTATCTTGGGTTTCTGCTTGTAAAATACACCAACCTTGTTTTGAGCCTTTTTCTTTTTCCTTCTTACTTCTGGCTGCTCTTATCAGTATAGAACTCAACACAAAACTGTCCCAAAAAATCAAGCTTTTAATATAGGCATCTAAGAAGAAATGTCTTGGCTAAGTTACCTCATCATCAAAGAAAACAGGATTTAATTAGGCAATACAGTAAACTCAACAAATAAGAGACACCATATTACACTGTAGTAATATCTTCAAGTAACTTCCCCTTGCAGTTCACTGGTGTTCCTACTGCTAACACATCTGTGTTGCTAACTCAGTAAGATTTTTTTTTTCCAAGCCTATGCTTTTTCTTAAAATGTCAGCCAAGGTTTAGTTACAGGGGAAGAAAAGTAGCTTGTCTTTGCACTCATCCAAGAAAACATCTCAATGTGTCTCATTCCATGAGACATCCACAATCCCAGCAGTAGTGATGTACCTTTTCCTTCACTATTGGGATCAACAGGTCAGCAAAAGTCACTGTGATCTCTCTCACAGCAACCCTGTCAAATTTTTGTGAAGCTTCATTTGCCTCCTATTTTGCTCTCACCTCCTCATACTAAGAGATGTTGTGAATCTAATGTCTGCTCTAGGGTTATACAACGGTATAATTTCTTTCTTACTTCTTAATACTTCTTTCTTGTTCTGAATTACCTTCCTTGTAGTATCTGCTGGCTTCTCTGATCTCTTGGTTGGTTCTTGAGGCCAGAATCTCAATTAAGGTATCTTCATCAGTTCCAAGCCCCTGACAAAAGCGATTGAAGTTTTAGAGATGTTATTCAATAGAACAAACTTAAAATTCTTAACAGAAATAAGATGAAAATCATTGGCTTGGCTTTGAAGACACCACATGGAAAGAGAAATAAAAATTTTAAAAGTTGGGCTTCCCTATTATCTAATTTCAGCTCTTTTGGAATTCAATTTTTCTCACATTAAATACACTGGTGCCAAAAAGAAATGCTAGAAGGATCAAACAGTACACATAAAAGATACAAATGTAAAATCTATGAAGAAAAAATACCTCCTTCCTTTTTTTTTTTTTCTTTCTCCTATGTAAACATTAATGTATGTGCTATGGCTCCCATTAGCAACCAGTTTTCAGAAGGCAAGAAAGAGTTCATTCTCTCAAAATAATCTCCTTCAACTCTGAAATTCAGCAGGGATTACTGGGTCTTGTTCTCATAAACTGAGTTGCCAATACAAATTTATTTAACAAAACAAAGTTAAAATAAAGATAATGCACAAGCCTTGAAATCTATGTCCAGTGTTACTTACAGGCCTTGATAAGTACAGATGTTCTTTAGGAAAATTTTTCTCTGAAGATTTTGCCTTACCTTCATAGAGGCTCTTAATTCATCGGCATCAAATTGAGCTGGAGTTTTCAGCAAAGCCACAACGACATCTTCTAGATGGCTTTTCAGAGCTTTTTTCAAAGCCTCTTCTAGGCTCTGTTTCAGGAAGAATAAGAAACACACCAAGTTAATGAATGGTGGAAGTGTAGTTGCTCTTCAGCTGCAGTCCAAAAATTAGTCTGACCTCTGATCAATCTAAGTGTACATCATTCCTACCTCTAATAGAAAGAATTATGAAGCCCTACTTCAAGTTTCAGGTTTGTCACATTTGACACTTTACATTAATTAAAGTGTCAGGCAAGGTTTTTCAGAAAGTATTCTCGAGTGCTTTCACACATTGCAGTTCAGCTACATTGAAACATTTACAGCATCAGAAGAAGACTCAAAAGAGGCTGCTCGTTCTTCAAGAGAAGATAATGTCATATTACTCTTACAATTATGACTGAGTTGCTTATTTGTGTAACATTTGAATTCATCATTTACTGCATGAAGTTTGAAGTGAACATATGTAATATCATCCTAAACAAAACCACAAGTTCTGAAGATAAAGGTTATATTCTAATTTGACCTAAATTTAAGTGGGGTGAAAAAAAATTTAAATCTGGTTTATTCTGCTGCCTATCCAAAAATGTAAAATCACTAGAAGCCCTCCCTATAGCCCTTGGGGTAGAGTGTTATGGTTCTACAACTCTCCTATACTACTCGGTATTCTATCTTTACTCATCTATACTATTTGAGCCAGGAGAAACTTTGATATTCTGAGTGAAAATTAAGCTTGGTTTGAACATACTTTACCTTTCCTTTAGCCTGCTGATAGGCAGCTTTGATCTGCTGTCGCTGAGCATTTGTTCTCTTTGTCAAGATGTCAATAATGGTGGCTTCATCCACACCTATGAATAAACAAACAAAATTCCAATATATTCAAAAGATATACATCATTAAGCCAGTTTTTTAAATTATGATCTACTTTATTTCATATTTTTATTTTTTGATAAGCTCAAATTTAACCAAAGGAAAAGTTGTTATTGTCTACAAACTCACAAGATTAGTTGTACAGCTAAGACACCAAATAAATAGATCCATCTAGGACACAGAAATTTCATTAAAAAAGTCTTAGAATATTCTGAGTGTAGATCTTCCACTAACCTGAAAAAATCCTAAAAAACTCCAAACAAACAGAAACCCACACTAAAAAAAAAAAAATAGATGACATTCTCCTTTAATCTCGGTAAGTCAAACTGGAAAACCTTTGGAAGCGCAGACAAAGTGCCAAATGTGATTTTCATTAAAAGAGAGATATGCAACAGAAGCATACAATATATTATCAGTATAATCACTGCCTCTTGCAGGAATGCTATGGAAATCAAGCCAAAAATTATTAGTATGGTATGTTGCAATATTATTTCCTTCCCTAGAAATTCCATTTTTTCAACCCTTCCTTCAACATATTCAAGAACTTCAATATAGCATAAGGTCTGAAACCATAATACATCAGGCTGTCAAAGAGTTGAGATTCTTCATCAAGTGGCATAATTGAATGTATTGCCAAGCTTTTAAAAGTAGAGGCACCTCTCCCACTTGCTACTGCCTCTTGCTCTCATATATTATTCAGTGCTATTCTCAAACTTTTCGAAGGTAGAGTCCCAGTGTAGAAAGTTAAATAATTACTCCTTTTACCTTTTACAGTAATAGCCCTGTCTAAAGCAGCAACATCAGCTGATGGATCAAAATTTGGGTATGACTGCACTCCACGGATACCTTTTGAGCTCTTCTGCGGAGGGAAAATAAAAAATAAAATTTAAAACAGAAACAAGAAAAATATCTTATCACAAGACACCACTAGTTTAGCTAGGTGATTCACAATCCTCAATAGTCTCTCTTGTTTCAAAAATTAGTATTTCAAATTTTTTAATCCTTTGCCATTAAAATAAAATATCCCGAAAAAAGTTCAAGGTTTTATGAATACATACTTTACATACAACAGTTTGTATTGAATTTTGTACACTTCTAGCATTGGATAATTAAATGTTCATCTCCCTACACAATTGTCTCACTAAGAGTTGTAAGACAGCTGACAGATTGCACACTTAAATCTCTAGCATAGAGATACTTAAATTTCTGCATCTTAAGTCTCTAGCATAGTTTTCAAGAGATCATTGTGTCTTGTGTGCTAAGTCAACAAAGGAATGTGACTGTCCCACTGCCTGTTTCTCAATCTTGCAGGCCGACCTTTGTACGCTGGTTTCCATGCCAAACTTATCTGCCAGCAATATAAAAGTCTCTGTAAACACCATAGCCAAAAATGTCTCAGGACCCTGGGAATGGAAAGGGAATAGGATGGTGGAGCCAAAGGTTTATGCACAAAATGTTGTGGAGTCAAAATTACAAAATCTACAAGAGCAGAAAACTTTTGCTTGCTGAAATTTCCCCCATATAATTTTGTTTTCAAATGGTAAGTTTTTTGGGGAACTTCTGTCATTTCACAGGGTACTGCTTTACCTTTGCTTCCATTTCAGTAGCTTCACCTCATTATCACAAAGATTCTCCATATCATCCTAGCACAGTCAGGAGTCACAGTAACTCCTGACTCCTCACAACCATAACCCTCCTTCTAATGTATAACTCATCGTCTGAGGTTTTTTATTACATGCTGTGGCTTGTTCCACCATGAGCGTGACATATGATATGAAAGCTAGGATAAATACTAGTGACTTTACTTCCTCCTTTACATTCCTGGGCTCCAACTCATGGCTTCCTATACCTCAGCCAAAGAGTCCCTGGTTTTTTCACATACTTTATCCGGACATGTTCATACACATTCACAAAACTCAGCTTCAGATTACTACATTAAAGAAGCCGACCTGAGGGAATCAGTGACTGGCCACTGGGAGTTACCGCTTAATTCACACGAACTAGTTCTGCCAAGGAATTGATAACTAGACTGATAGGTGCAAAAAAGAGCAATTTTTCATCTTGTAGCTAACTTCCTAGGTTATACGTTTACATTAAATTACACACCACAATAAAATTAGGTTCCATTTCTAATCTGCTAGAGTTTTGCGACTGTTTTCCTTCAATTTGCATGTATGAAAGATGTTTAGAAGCCTTTAAACCACTTGTTTACAAGACTACAAGAAAATAAGCATGGTGCTCTCAAAAGCTGATAATACTTACAATACATTCCTGCTCCTGGTTGTCAATGAACCATGCTTGCTTCAGAAATTCTGATACCATAGCCATGTTGATAGAGCTTCTGGGAAGAGATGCATCAAGTTACAAACAATTTTTCACCATTTTCAGCAACTCAAGATTTTCCACCCTCAAAACCACTTCTCTAGCATCACAACATGTTGTGGTTAATTGCCACAGGGTAACTGGCCTGTGCTATTGGAGGCAAGTAACTTTGGTGTTTCATGAGTGATGTGATGCTCCACAGCTGCTTGCTCACCCCTACACTCTTAGCTACTTTCAAAAGTTTTAGATAAGAACAGCAGAAGAACTATGCATGTGCTTACATTAGCATTAGCATTTACTTACAAAGGGAAGTTACTGGAAACCAATTAGTTAATTTTCATCTATGCCCATTTAATTTGATCATTCTGAAATTCACTGGTAAACAAGGGGTCTTGTCTCATCATTTACTGATGTTGGAGTTCTTGTGTATTATGTTAGGAAAAAAGAAATTCCTTTGATAATATACCTTCATGTAATTTCTTTGACTAGACATTTTCTAAGGAAGACGAGTAAATCTGGATAGTTCTACATTGCTTTACATTGCTTTCTCTTACACATTTTCTACAAATTCTACATAATAATAAAAAATCATTACCAATTTAAGAAGAGGAAATAAAAGTAAGTTTTGCTTTTCACCACTCAGAAAGAAAGGTTTCCCAAAAGTCACTATGCAGAAAAGGAAAAAATAAGAGGTGATATAACATTAAGTACTCAAAAATAATGAATGGGTTGCTTAAAAACAACTTCTTTTTTGGTAAGGGGAATATTCTGTTTGTTAGCTGAAATAGTGAAGAAATAGAAAGAAGAAATAAATGGTTTATCAAATAAAGTTATTCAAACAGGATTTTTTTTTAAAAGCACTCTTCCTCAGCAAGTTCCAGGGAAGACTTGGTTTTAAAGCATATGTGTAAGCAATAACTATAGATAGTGTTGCTGAGTAAACAGGACTGATTTTGAAACTGGTGTTAAGAGACAAAATTCTGTCTGTAGTCTTGGAGTAGAGATCATATATACAATTATAGAAAAAATACGTTAATTATGCTGCTAACACACACCCTCTGTCCTGTAGGAAGGGCAGAGACCAGCCTTGACTCTACAGAAATTGAGGACCAAGGAGTGCAGCTGCAGCCCAGCTCTTTCTTTCCCTCGCAACAACACTGTAAAGCTTGCTTCTGCACTCAGCAGCCAAAAAAGTGACAAATACATCACAGAGCCTGCCAATAGCTCTCTCCAAGGTAAGAGCCCTCTTTCCCAAAAAGCTCTTGCTTTGTTTGCTTCTCTCAGGAAGGAATTTAGCTCTGCCATTGCTGCCAGAAAAGCTGAAACTGATTTCAAATCTGATTTGTACGTTATTTAGAGTAGGGATTCACTGATAAATCATGAGCAAAATATTCAGTCAGATTGAAGGATCAACTTTTATGACCTGCTATTTATTCAGGATCAGAAAAGCATGCTCACATCGCAATTGCAACCTGCACTTTTCTCAAGCTGTCAGAGTGACTCCTGTGCCCTTCTATTGACAGAAGTTAGCAGGGCCAGATGAAGCATATGGTGCCCAAAATTCTGCTGCATTTTGTAACAGCACACATGAAGGCCTTATGCAGTGGGACGGAAACACTTAAAAGTCTCCATACTGGGTAGACTGAGTCATCAACGCTGGCATGTCCTGCTATGTCTGCTGACTGATTCACAGAGAACCACTCCAAACTATGAAACAAGATTCAGTCTCCCAGCAGCAGATCTGAGGTGTGTTTTGCCTGATAAAGTAACCCTTTTCAGGGAGAGCACATCCCTTCCTTCTACATATTCCCACACCCACCCTTGACACCAAGCTCTAAAGGTTTCCATGCCTTTGGGGCTGGCTGGAGAAGAAGGCTACTAGACTACACTAAATTTAGTTTATTAATCCTCTAAAACTTTGTTTTTTCTGGCTTAAATAATACAGTAAGAAAAAAATGTCTGTGCCTTAAAAACCGTATTTTTTTTTCTTTTGAAATAAAGACACTGGCATGCAGATCCGTCTATTTCCATCTAGTATAGAAATAATGCAATTTTAATATAAGTCAAAGTAGTCAACAGTCCTTGGGGGAAGCTGAAGATCTTAGTCTGCTTGAATTAGCTTTGCAAGGTAAAAAAACAACTTAATATAAAACTCTTCTTCTGCTTTGGAAGAAACTACAACTGATAAGAAAAATAAAAGGCTGGAATCTAGGAAGACAGCCAGCCCCCTGATAGAGACAAGGTCTTGCCCAATACTTTGTCCTAACACTCTAAAATGCAGAGATCATATAAACAGTACCTAGATCCAAGAGGGATACATTCAGTCCAAACACTACTTTGATATAATGGGAAAAGGACTGAAGTAACTGTTGGAATGATCAACATCGCAATGGGTTTGAAAAATTACACAGACATCCAGACTGAAAACCTGAACTGTTGTTTCACAAAAATCATCACAGTATTGCTCTCTGTCTGGCTCTTAATCCCCTGAAGATGTACCCTTCAACAGGCCCAATCAAAAATTTTTAAGATTTTGAGAAAATACTTTATTAAAAATATTTAAAGATAAAACTATTTAAAGATAAAACTAGATTTTTACACTACAGTCTGTGTCAAATAACAGCATTTATCTATACTTATTTAATTATATAATGAAGCATGTCAGATGCCTGGTTACTTTCAAAGGCTCAATACCAAGATCTTGATGTAAATTATAGTCATGTCACCCAGTCAGAAAAATAGGCAAAAGATCTAATATAGCAATTTACTTTGCAGTGGAAAGTCTGCTGAATATGGAAACACCAGAGAGAAAAACAGTCTCATCCTTGTAAAAGTCTATAGAAAGATTTATCAGGAAGAACCCCAGATGATACAGTTTTTATGTGGCTTTGCCAAGTTCTCAGTCAGAAAAGTAGGATTTTGCTCTTATGTTTCTAAAACATTGGCTTGATTTCTAAAATTTTATTTCTAATTTGATTTTCATCACTTTCAGAACAATGACTCCTCTACAGTCATAGTGCAGCAAACTGATGTTGAAGTATCAACATCATTTGATCAGTTGAAGCATCAACATCATACACAGCATAGTAGTTTCCTAGGAACTCTGGTTTTACTACACATTTCTACAGAAGCCTATTAAAAAGGCAAAGAGAAAGCATATGAAATGGTCTACTCCAAATAAGTTTGCTTTTGAAGTTTTAACTATTTTTTATTCCCCTTATTTAATTGCATTAAACAAAAGCAATAATTGCCCAAGCCCTTGTGTAAAATGTTCCAGAATGGAAAGAATTTCTCCTGCCCGCACCCGTCTTTTTCCCCTGACAGCAAGTCCAACCCACAGAAAGTTTACACCAGATCACTTGACAAATTCAGCACACAATTCCTAAAGTGCTGGGTCTACAGAGAGTAATAATGAACTACAAAATCCTACCTTGCTCCTCACGAACACTGCCTTGCAGGGCTGCACAGTTATGAGCAAAGGAGCAGAGGGCTCTCAAAGCTTTTGTAGCCTGTGGAGGAAACTCCACCCAGCAACCAGTGTTTCCACAGCCCTTGTAATCATCTGCAGCAGCTGTATCTGGGTGCCACCCGAAGTCGAAAAGTATTAGGGAAAAAAAAAAAAAAAGGTCATTGCGAAACTATGTGCTGGCAGAAGTTTGAGCAGATTGCAGAAAGGAAAATACATGAGCAAGCCATGGTAGCTCTTCTCTCTTGCCCTGACTACATTCCCCAGTTTTAATAAATTGCCATAAATATTTTTGGATCACATGATTAAATATTAAGAAAACAAAATCTGAGTAATTCTTTTCACATTTTAATGTCTGATATAATTTCAAAAGTGATTATATTAAGATATATCTTTGCTCAGTGAAACTTTTGAGAGAAGACATGGCGAAGAGTCAAGGCAGAATCCTCACTTCACTGAGATCCCATGGCTATCAGCTCTGCAGCTTTTGCATGTAGGTCCATGGCAGAAATAACCCAGGAATAAAACATGCCTAGTATTTCATGTAAATAACTTTTTTTTTTTTAAAGAAACTCATGGGAAAAGGGATACAATATAAGGGCAATAATTAGCCCTACATAACAGGGCTACATAATTAGGTAACCTACATAATTAGAAAGAGATTGAAACAATCAGATTAAACCCTGAAGTACAAAGTGAGAGTGATTTGCACAAGATAAGAGTATATCTGCTAGAATTGGTTTTCTGCAAGCATTTCCTTGCCAAGCCAGCACAGCACAACACCATCACTAGCATCTCAGATTGGCCTGGAGCATGATGCCCAATGAAGAAATACCTATTGCTGAACCAGAAGTGTTTGCAATGGACAGATAGGGCTCTGAGCAGACTTTCATCCTCCTGCTGACTGGCTGCAATGCACAGTATGGCTCATCTGGCCCACATGGCAGACATGAAATGCAGTCTGCCCTTGAAGCCCATGTCTAACAATTAATTATATGAGGAGGAAGAGGAACAGGCTGATGGTAATTATTAGAGGAAATCCTCACAAATTTCTCAAATGTTAAATAGCACACATGCACGTTCCAGCATAACTTACGTCTTTCTCTGTACACTCAAATGTGTGCTGCTCAGAGTAATCTGCTCATCACATTCAATGAGGTCCCTATTCCAGCAGCCTAAGAAGAGAGCCTCCAGGAGTGCTAAGGACACCCCAGCCCCAGGATCTGCCCTCAGCAGTGGCCTCAGCCCTCATTCCCCACTTGAGTCACTGCCCTGCTCCCTTACAGAGGAGTGGGAGGGAAAGTGGGACTCAGCCTATGGGCTGATGGTCTGTGCCATTCCCAACCCCAGAGAGCTGCCAACTGCGTGCAGCTGGGGCTGCTTATAGTGCCCACCCCAGGTCTTTGCTCCTGGCTGGGGTGATGGGTAGGAGGGGCTGCCAAGCCCTGCCTGCTGACCCCCATGGGAACACTTCTGGCTCCCAGGGAGTCCCCAGCCCCCTTGACTCTCTGAGAGCAATTTTCTCCTATGCTTTATTTCCTTTCCCTCTGTACATTTAATATATCATTTGACAAAAGTATTTTAGATGTTTTCAGTAAACTGAATAATTGAAGGGGCCTACCAGTTGACAATGATACAGTAAGCATTCTGTCAGGTGTATGTTGATTTGTTTATTTAATTATGATATATGATGTACAGATTACACTAGTCCACCCAAATTCCATATCAGAATGACACTAGCAGTCTTGTTTCACTTGGCTCAGGTGTTGGCCAGAATCTCTGTTTTTACTCTTTTTCTGGGACTGTTTCCCCTGTCTATTGATGAGCACAGCTAAGGGTAGGAATCAGTGTGCTAGAAGTGCAAAGTCCTACATGTTGACTCTTTTTTCTAATATGTTTTTTCCATAATCAGATTACTACCCCATTTTTATCATAACTTCTGATTTTGTTCTTTTGTTTCTTGGGCTTTTAAAAAATCTAATTCTATTGTCTTTCTATGTTTCCACCTTCAGAGTGATATCGCAAGAAGGTACAATGACTTGCTGCTAGTCATTGAAGAAGCTGTTTGCATTTGCTTTTCCTTCTTAATGGGTGGATAGGTGCTGATTGACTCACTGTCTTCCTGGAGCTCAGCTGAGTCACCATCTGCAGTAGAATGCTTTATTGTACAAAATGCTGCCACTTAAAAAATGCAGTTTTGCATTTGGATGGAGCTCTTAACAATTGTTTATTGTTAAGTTTTTAACTGTTACTCTGTAATTTGATTCATAAAGATATCACAGTTTACATATTGTTTATTGTTGAGTTGCCGTTATTTATTCAGAAGTGGCAAAGCATGCAGCCACTGTTGTAGAGGATTAAATGTCTCAAAAGTGACAAAAATAAGTATATTTGTTTACAGCATTCAATGCATAGAATGCAATTGAGAGAAAGAGAAATGTTCCATGAAAATAGAAAAGAAAAATGGTCATGTGATAAACTGCTGGATTTGGTCATGCCAAATATTTCTCTTAAGGCCAGTGATGACTCATCTCAGTTGGGAAGATGGTGTTTCCCCGAGTAATCCATCCTACACAAAATGATAGGAAAATGAGTCAGGAATTTTCATGGAGTTTGAGAGCGAGAGCAGCAGCCCTAACATCTATTTCAGAGGCTCCTACCAACCTGCTGTAACTCTGTGTTTATTCCACCCAAGGTGCCTTTAAGAAGAGTTAAGGTGGAGAAATTTAGGAAATGATGATTCTACCTACATGAAAGCAAAGACCACACTTAACAAATGATCTTCAGATTGCCTATGAGATAGACTTTAAGAGAAGATTGATGCTCACAAGTTGCATTGGTATGAAATAGCATTATCCTGAGGGGGCTGCTGACAGTATGGTCAGGCAATAAATCATAAAACAGAGCTCTGCCTGTTTCATGCCATGACAGCCATCCATTTTGAACCGTCTGATAGCAATCCAGAGCCAACTGGAATCTGCTCTGTGATCTTTGGCCCCTTGTAATTTCATTTATCTTCAGTAGCTTTTATCCATTTCCTAAAAAACTGAGGAGGAACACATTACTTGATTTCTTTAGGCACCCAGAACCTGCAGCACAGCACCTGTACTCAGGTTACAGGCAACAGAGACATTAATATAGAAGATACAGATCCAAGAGGCCTACAGCAGGCCTATTGAAGACAGTAGTACTCCCAAGAAGACACTCCAAAGATAATGCAGTGTTTTTACTATATACTTACCAATTCCTGTACAAATTCTGTTTCAGGATGTGTGTCTCAGTTACATTATTCAGAAAAATATCTTTCCTGCATATTGAGATAAAGGACCTCCTCAGACCTTCATCTCTTCCTTTGACATACACAAGAGATAAAATATCAAATTCAGTGAGAACTGCTTCACTATCTATTCATTTGCACCTGATCGGCACGGTTCTAGAGTCCAGCTAGGTTGTGATTATGTGTAACCCTGTGATCCTATATTTTGGGCTGGAGAGATTCAAATTTAGACATACAATTTCTTTTTTAGTTTCATGCTTAAACAAAAAAAAAATCATTAGACACAATAGGATATCCAAAACTGTATAATATCTCTTATGGATTCTCTGTTAAAGGTTTTATTTTTATTGTATTTGCCATTCAGATCATGTTTCAGTTCTGAACCTCTTTGCAAGTCTGTAAATAGGGGAAAGATAGGGCAACATGCATTTGTTGATACTGATGCAAAACAAATCATAAATATTTTTGAGGAATCTTCCAATAAGGATTCATTTTATTTACACTGCATGAAATATTCAACACCTCTGTATTTTAACATGGATCTGCATTTTGTTATTGCCTCATGAAATACTGAATTAGCAATAATTGTCAGGCAGCAGGAATTCCATTGTTTAATCAAACATACATCTGCTTCTATAATCAGCTTTAATACTTACTGTTCTCTTAGTTGCAGTAAATACTTTTCTGCTGTTCCATAAATTTTTAGAAGTGTAATGGGATATTCTGAGTCTCATGGTTAAACATGGTTTGGCTACCCAGAAGACACAAAATGTTAATGAGCAGCCCCCTGCACAGAGAAATAAAGATAGCCCATCCTCTCATATAAACAAGAAGAGTAGGCACATGAGAAATCATGTCAAGGTAACATCATTTTGGAGATTAGAAATCCCATTCAGTTTAAATGAACTCAAGTTCAGAGAAACGCTTCCAGAAGCTTTTCAATGTCACAGACAGCCTTTCAGACATAAACCTCTATAACTGTATGCTAAAGTAATTTAGATGAGGAAAATGTAGACCTTCTAGGAAGCCTCCTTGGAAAAAAATGTTGGAAGTCTGTTACGCATATCTCCATCCAAATCCCAGTAGAGCAAAACAGACCTGTTTGATGATGAAGTTGTGACAAAAATAGAAAATTATAGTAGAGCAAAACAGTCCTGTTTGATGATGAAGTTGTGACAAAAACAGTAAATTACAGTGGAAGGTAAAACTCAGTGCACATTCGGGGGAATGTGCTAAGGTGATAAGAAAAAGTGAGAGTGCATATTTTACAGTCCTAGGCAGTGTACAATGCTAATCAGAGGGTGTAAATAATAACAGAGGAGTCATTTGGGTAAAGGGAACATAAGTAAATTTAAACAATTGTACTGTGCATAAAGGCTGTGAAAATGTCAGTGCCCATAATGGAGAAAACGTCCAAACATCCTCCCCACCAAAAAACCAAACCTAAACAAGAGTTAGTGGCATGTCACAACTGATCTTAGGATGAAAGGAACTGGGCCATCTCTTCTAGGGAAACCAAGCAGCAGGATGAGCAGTCCTCTGATCTACAAGAGACTGAACCCTGCTGCACAATTAAGTGGTTGTAACTTCAAAGAAAAAAGAGACAACACTAATTAACAAAAATTTAATCAGCAGATGAACCACCTGTGGTACTGCAATATGCAGGTTAAATTTAGCCATCTGGGATTTCCCAGTTTATTTGGCATTCTGAAATTGATCCCTTGAAGTAGCTTTACATCTACTGCCATTTCTTGTGCCACTTTTTCTTTTAAAGAAAATTAATATTATAAACATGCCCTTAGCAAACTGTGCCCCTTTGAAAGACACTGAAATATACAAATACATTGTGCCGTTGAAATACATACCAGTGAGTGGATCTATTGATAAAAAAATTTCCAGGTTGAAATAGTAAAACAATAAAACATATCTTATTCCCTATCTACAATGAGGAGTAAGTCTCATGCTCTGAATCTTCAGAATCATTTCAGTCAAGGTCATATTTTTTCTGAGTGGCATAGCCCTGACTTGGGTCCCACTGTTATGAAGAAACAAGAATTACATAATAAGTGCATAGTAGTAAATCATGTTTTGCTCACTGTGTACATTGAAGGTGGGGTAGGAACAGTCATAAAAAACCTGAGGAAACTATACATTCCATTCACTCTTGTAACATCTTGTTCCCAGAATTTTGAGGGTGGCTTGTGGTTAGAAGTTTTTGGAGACTGCTTGGCTGTTACTCTTTCACTCAGCAGCTTACCTGCCAAAATTAGGAGACAGAAGTAGTTCACAATTAGTCAGTGATTGCAAAACCGGTTTGCTTCTATGGAACATCAGAATAGTTTAACCTCAGAAAAAATAAAACTTTTCGTGCACCTTTCCCTCAAATCTATACATAACCAAAGTGTTAATCTAAACTGCAGTATTGCACTTGAAAAAATAGTTTTCCTAACCTCCTCCATTTTATGTGGTTTTTTTCCTCAATTTAAATATAAGTTTATTGTTGACTGTCAGCAAAATATGATTTGTATGCAGGAGATTTCCCGCAAGCTCCCGCATTGTGATGTTGAACAGGAATTCCTTATTGTGTTTCCAGGTAAAACCCCATAAAAATCCTGTTCTTTTTTTTCAGTTTTATTCTGGACTGGATTGCCTCAAACTGCTGGGGAAGAAATACCACTAAGGCACAATGATGCAAGTCACAGTTATTAAAGGGAAATTTCAAAGAGTTTAAGCGTGCTTCTGTTTCAGAGAGAACAAGGTTCAAGGCATGTTTGTATTTGTTGTAATTTATCCCATTATAGAACTGCCTAAAGGTACATAACTCAGACTTTGATTTGCATCTGATTTTCCTCAAAGGACAAAGATACAGATGCAACATTTCAGATGTAGCCCAATTCTATACTAGTGCAAATTATTTATCCCTGGAGCTGCTATAAGTTTCTTAAGGTATTCAAACTCTTTGGGAAGATACTG